TATAGAAGAGTGCAAACCAAAATTAATCATAACTACCATTGGTGGATATGTATTTGAAAGTGTGGTAAACTTTTTATCGACCATTAAAGAAACATTAAAAATATCAAAACATAAAATATCAAGAGTAGTCGTTTTAAATAGACCTGAATTCGAAAATGATTTTAAAGAAGAACTAAATGATCAAATTTTTATAGATTGGGGCAAACTAATTGAAAATGTAAAACCTTTGGAAGAGTATGAAATCGTAGAATCTCAACATCCGCTCTATATTTTGTACACATCTGGATCTACAAGTAAACCAAAAGGAATTGTTAGAGAAACTGGTGACCACTTAGTAATATTAGATTATTTAACTAGAAATTTCAATGGTTTAAAAGAATGTGATACTTATCTCACATTGGCATCTCTAGGATGGGAATCTGGTGTTACCTATTCAGCCTATGGATGTTTATTAGTTGGTGCTAGATCCATTTTAGTAGAAGGCTCATTTAAAAACCAAGTCAAAGGGTTTTGGGGTTTGGTCGAAAAATATAATGTTACTCAACTCATGGCAACACCATCAACAATTAGAGGTTTTATTAAAGATGATAAAAATGGTGAAATTTCATCACAATTCAACCTATCATCATTGAAAAAAGTTACAATTGCATCCGAAAAATTACAGCTAGAAACATTAAAATATTTAGAAGTTGTTATAAAAAGACCTATCATATGCAATGAATATGGCCAAACCGAAACTGGTATACTATCAATTGGGTACCCATCACTCCAAGTACCAATCCGTAAAGATTCTATTGGCAAACCAATTCCAGGATACCAAATTAAAATTGTAAGTAAAAATGAAAAGGGTCAAGTTATCGAACTTGGTCCTAATGAAATTGGCGAAATAGTAATCAAGTTACCATTGCCTCCAGCATTGGTTAAAAGACTCTATGGTGACAATGAATCTAAATCAATTTATAATAGTCAATATATCAACGAGTACCCAGGATACTTTAATAATGGTGACTCTGGATATATTGATAACGAAGGCTACATGTTTTATACATCACGATCTGGTGACTCCATCTCATTTTTAGCGTACACAATAAATTGTGGTGTAATCGAAAATCAAATTTTCAAGCATCAAAACATCAATGACTGTTGTGTCATTGGTATCGATGACGAAATCAGTTTCCAAAAACCTCTTGCATTATTAATATTACAAAATGACATTAAGAATGATGAAGAATTGGAAAAATTAAAATCAGAAATCAATAACCTCATTCAAAGTAAATTATCAATTTGTTTGGAAATCGAGAACTTAATTATAGTAAAAAGATTACCAAAAACTAGAACATCAAAAAAAATTAAAAATGTTATCACAAAAATATTTAATGGTAAATATATCTTTACAATATTTCCAAACTCAGATGTCATTTTATAAATTTTAATTTTCTTTTTTTTTTAATTTTAGGTAAAGACTATCAAATACCAGCATCAATCGAAGATGAATCGGTTATCACTGAATTAGTCGAAGAATATAATAAATATAAAAAAACCTTAAATAAAAATTTATTATAAACATAGTTTTTTTTTATTCAACAAAAAATTAAATTCCACTCGTGTGGGTGTCGATTTTTAAAGATATTTTTGTTTTTTTTTGTGGTTCTTTTTTCTTTTTTTAATTCATTTTAAACCAAAAAAAACATTTGAATGAAATAATTTATTATGAGCTTTTCATATAAATAAAAAAACTCGTCTTGTAATCACTCTTATTATTAATTTTTAAAAATAATTAATAATCTTTGAAAAAAATAATGATAATTTTTATTTTTTTTTTGAAAAAAAAAAATATTTTTTATAATTTGTTTTTATTTTTTATTAGTTTATCTATAAAGTCATTTGTTATTAAATATTATTTTATTGAAAAAGAATTTTAATAAAATCTATTTATATTATTTTTTACGTTATAAATACTAATTTTTTATAAAAAAAAAAAATTTTAGTTTTTGATTTTTAAAAATTATCTTTATTTTTTAATAATAATATAATTTTATAAAAAAATAATAGAAAAACAGCAAATAAAAAAATTAAATAACATATAATTAAATAATATATTAAAAACTTCAATAACAGCACTTCTTTTACTAGAGTATATATAATTTAATAATGATTAAACAACAATATCATTTAAGTAAACCATTCAATTATGAAAATGACTATGAATATTCAATTCAAGATCCAGTTTCATTTTGGGATGAGGCAGCAAAAAAAAATATAATATGGTAAATAAAATTAACATTAAAATAATTTAATTTATTTAAATAATTAACTATTAGAAATACTAAAATTTAAAAACAATTTTATTTTTTTTACAGGGATAAACCATATGAAACAACATATGAAAGTAAAGAAAATAATAATGATGAATGGTTTAAAGGTGGACTATTAAACACATGCTATAATGTATTGGATAAACATATTGCTAATGGCAAAGGTGAAGAGACTGCATTTATTCACGAAATACCATTAAAAGGAATAACAAAAAAAATTACATATCAAGAACTATATGAAAAAGTTTGCAAATTTTCAAGTGGACTTAAAGAGTTGGGTGTAAAGAAAGGTGATGTCATTTTGGTTTATCTTCCAAACTCGATAGAAAATGTTATAACAATGTTATCGTGTGCAAGAATTGGGGCTATACACAATGTTGTATTTGTCGGGGAAATGTCAGGTAATTTAATTGATAATATAGAAGAATGTAAACCAAAATTAATCATAACTACCATTGGTGGATATGTATTTGAAAGGGTGGTAAACTTTTTATTGGCCATTAAAGAAACATTAAAAATATCAAAACATAAAATATCAAGAGTAGTCGTTTTAAATAGACCTGAATTCGAAAATGATTTTAAAGAAGAACTAAATGATCAAATTTTTATAGACTGGAACAATCTAATTGAAAATGTAAAACCATTGAAAGAATATGAAGTTGTAGAATCACACCATCCACTCTATATTTTATATACATCTGGATCAACAAGTAAACCAAAAGGAATTGTCAGAGAATCTGGCGATAATTTAGTAATGTTAGATTATTATTTTAGAAATTTCAATGGTTTAAAAGAAGGTGATACCTACTTCTCATTGGCATCCCTAGGGTGGGGATCTGGTGTCACCTATTCAACTTATGGATGTTTATTAGTTGGTGCTAGATCCATTTTAGTAGAAGGCTCATTTAAAAACCAAGTCAAAGGGTTTTGGGGTTTGGTCGAAAAATATAATGTTACTCAACTCATGGCAACACCATCAACAATTAGAGGTTTTATTAAAGATGATAAAAATGGTGAAATTTCATCACAATTCAACCTATCATCATTGAAAAAAGTTACAATTGCATCTGAAAAATTACAGCTTGAAACATTAAAATATTTAGAAGAAGTTGTTTTAAAAAGACCTATCGTATATAATGAATATGGACAAACAGAAGCTGGTATACAAGCAATTGGATACCCATCACCACAAGTACCAATCCGTAAAGACTCTATTGGCAAACCAGTGCCAGGGTATCAAATTAAAATTGTAAGTAAAAATGAAAAGGGTCAAGTTATCGAACTTGGTCCTAATGAAATTGGTGAAATAGTAATCAAGTTACCATTACCTCCAGCATTGGTTAAAAGACTCTATGGTGACAATGAATCTAAATCACTTTATAATAGTCAATATATTAATGAGTACCCAGGATACTATAACAGTGGTGACTCTGGATATATCGATAATGAAGGCTACATATTTTATACATCACGATCTGGTGACTCCATCTCAGTTTCAGCGTACACAATAAACTGTGGTGTAATCGAAAGTGAAATTTTCAAGCATCAAAATGTCAATGACTGTTGTGTCATTGGTATCGATGACGAAATCAGTTTCCAAAAACCTCTTACATTATTAATTTTACAAAATGAAGTTAAGAATGATGAAGAATTGGAAAAGTTAAAATCAGAAATCAATAACCTTGTTCAAAGTAAATTATCAATTTGTTTGGAAATCGATAACTTAATTATTGTAAAAAGATTTCCAAAAACTAGAACATCAAAAAAAATTAAAAATGTTATCACAAAGATATTTAATGGTAAATATACACTAACAATATTTCCAAATTCAGACGTTATTTCATAAATTTTAAATGTTTTTTTTTTTATTTTTTTTTATTTTAGGTAAAGACTATCAAATACCAGCATCAATCGCAGATGCATCCGTTATCACTGAATTAGTCGAAGAATATAATAAATATAAAAAAACCTTAAATAAAAATTTATAAATTTATAAACTATATAGTTTTTTTTTATTTCAAAGAAAAAAACTTTTTTTTTTAATTATATTACAATCATAGGTATATAGAAATCCATTTTTTGGACGAACCATTATTTGGAAAGAAAAAAACAGTATATTTTATAATTAATGTTATTTTCTATCAAATAAACCTCATAAAAAAAATATAAAAAAATACATCGTTGTTATCACTCATTTTTTTTATTTTAAAATAATTCATAATCATAAAAAACAATTGATGATTATTATTTTTTTTTCTGAAGAAAAAAAGATTTTTTCATAATTTGTTTTTTTATTTGCTTGTCTATAAACTCTTCTGTTATAAATTAGTATTTTATAATAAAAAATTTTTAGATTTAATTTTTAAAGATCATCAAGTTTGGGCATATATGAAATAACAAAAAAGAACCCACCAAATTTTTTAAAATTTTTTTGAAATTAAATTTTGAAAATACAAATGTGTGGGCAAATTCGAACGATTTTAACAATATTAATTTTTTAAAAAAAAATTTAATTTTTTATATTTAATTTTTTTTTTCTTCTTTAATTAATTCTCTTTTATTAATAATAAAAATAACTTTATAACAAAATAATAGAAGAACAGAAAACAAATAATAAAAAATATATAAAACATCAATAACAGCATTACTAGTAGCATAACTAAAATATATGCATAGAATTAAATAATGATTACACAACAATATCAATTAAGTAAACCATTCAATTATGAAAATGACTATGAATATTCAATTCAAAATCCAATATCATTTTGGGATGAAGTAGCAAAACAAAATATTATATGGTAAATAAAAATAAAATTAATATACTTTAAACTATTTAAATAATTAACTATAAGAATTTCTAATATTTAAAAACAATTTTTTTTTAGGGATAAACCATTTGAAACAACATATGAAAATAAGGAAAATAATAATGATGAATGGTTTAAAGGTGGACTAATAAACACATGTTATAATGTATTGGATAAACATATTGCTAATGGCAAAGGTGAAGAGACTGCATTTATTCACGAAATACCATTAAAAGGAATAACAAAAAAAATTACATATCAAGAACTATATGAAAAAGTTTGCAAATTTTCAAGCGGACTTAAAGAGTTGGGTGTAAAGAAAGGTGATGTCATTTTGGTTTATCTTCCAAACTCGATAGAAAATGTTATAACAATGTTATCGTGTGCAAGAATTGGGGCTATACACAATGTTGTATTTGGTGGGGAAATGTCAGGTAATTTAATTGATAATATAGAAGAATGTAAACCAAAATTAATCATAACTACCATTGGTGGATATGTATTTGAAAGGATTGTAAACTTTTTATCGACCATTAAAGAAACATTAAAAATATCAAAACATAAAATATCAAGAGTAGTCGTTTTAAATAGACCTGAATTCGAAAATGATTTTAAAGAAGAACTAAATGATCAAATTTTTATAGACTGGAACAATCTAATTGAAAATGTAAAACCATTGAAAGAGTATGAAGTTGTAGAATCACACCATCCGCTCTATATTATGTACACATCTGGATCTACAAGTAAACCAAAAGGAATTGTTAGAGAAACTGGGGACCACTTAGTAATGTTAGATTATTTTATTAGAAATTCCAATGGCTTAAAAGAAGGTGATACTTACCTCAATTTGGCATCCCTGGGGTGGGTATCTGGTGTTGCCCGTTCAGTCTATGGATGTTTATTAGTTGGTGCCAGATCCATTTTAGTAGAAGGCTCATTTAAAAACCAAGTCAAAGGTTTTTGGGGTTTGGTCGAAAAATATAATGTTACTCATCTCACGGCAACACCATCAAAAATTAGAGGTTTTATTAAAGATGATAAAAATGGTGAAATTTCATCACAATTCAACCTATCATCATTGAAAAAAGTTACAATTGCATCCGAAAAATTACAGCTAGAAACATTAAAATATTTAGAAGTTGTTATAAAAAGACCTATCATATGCAATGAATATGGCCAAACCGAAACTGGTATACTATCAATTGGATACCCATCACTCCAAGTACCGATCCGTAAAGATTCAATTGGCAAACCAATTCCAGGATACCAAATTAAAATTATAAGCAAAAATGAAAAAGGTCAAGTTATCGAACTAGGTCCTAATGAAATTGGAGAAATAGTAATCAAGTTACCATTGCCTCCAGCATTGGTTAAAAGACTCTATGGTGACAATGAATCTAAATCACTCTATAATAGTCAATATATTAACGAGTACCCAGGATACTTTAATAATGGTGACTCTGGATATATCGATAACGAAGGTTACATATTTTATACATCACGATCTGGTGACTCCATCTCAGTTTCAGCGTATACAATAAATTGTGGTGTAATCGAAAGTGAAATTTTCAAACATCAAAACATCAATGACTGTTGTGTCATTGGTATCGATGACGAAATCAGTTTCCAAAAACCTCTTACATTATTAATTTTACAAAATGACGTTAAGAATGATGAAGAATTGGAAAAGTTAAAATCAGAAATCAATAACCTTGTTCAAAGTAAATTATCAATTTGTTTGGAAATCGAGAACTTAATTATAGTAAAAAGATTACCAAAAACTAGAACATCAAAAAAAATTAAAAATGTTATCACAAAAATATTTAATGGTAAATATATCTTAACAATATTTCCAAATTCAGACGTTATTTCATAAATTTTAATTCTTTTTTTTTTATTTTAGGTAAAGATTATCAAATACCAGCATCAATAGCAGATGCATCCGTTATCACTGAATTAGTCGAAGAATATAATAAATATAAAAAAACCTTAAATAAAAATTTATTACAGATATAGTTTTTTTTGTTCCAATAAAAAATTAAATTCCATCCACGTGGGTGTCGATTTTTTAAGATATTTTTTTTTTTTTTTTTTGGTTTCCATTTTTTTTTTTAATTCATTTTCTAAAGAAGATTCTAAACTAAAAAAACATTTAAATATAATAATTTATAATACTCTATTTCCCACATATAGACCCAATAAAACAGTATTTAGAGCAACCTCAAACAAAAAATTTCCTCATAATAATCAAAATAAAAAAAAATAAAAAAAAATATTTTAAAAAAAACTTGAAAAAAAAAAATTTTTTTAAAAACTATTTTTTTTTTTAATTTTTAATTTTTTTTTAATTTTTTTTTTTTGTTTTAAATCCAATAACACACAATATATTTTTAAAAAAACTTTTTTTTTTTTTTTTTATTTATATTACAATTATAATCACAGATATATATATATAGAAAAAATGGATGAACCATTATTTGGAGAAAGAAAAAAACAGGTATATTTTATAATTATTTAATTTTTATTTTCGATCATAAACCTCATAAAAAATAAAAAAAATAAAAAAATAAAAAAAAAAAGGTTGATCGAAAAATCCAATTTTAATTGCCATAATAATTTTTTTTTTTTTTAATTAAATAGTAAATTAATTTATAAATATATTAATAAAACCCATTTTTAAATATAGACACAAATATCACAAGTTATTATTTCAATAATTGTTTCACTTTTTTCAATTGTAAGTTTACATCATTGTAAAAATAGATATAAAGATTATAGGTTTTTACAATCATTGCTTTTATTAATATATTGTTATGTATTTAGTTTTCAATAGCAATAGGTGTTTATTTTGGTATTAAAAATAATCCAAGACATTTTGTTTTGGTTGCTACAATTATTTTAATATTTGGATCATTAGCATTATTAGTTAGATGGTGGCGTGATCAAGATGATAGAATTCATCCAAAATTCAAATATCTTATTTTCCTTTTAGCTGGTTGTGCTATTTTAGCCTCAATTGCCACTAATTGTTATGTTTGGGAAAAACAAGTTGAATGGTAATATTTAAATTATAGTTATTAAATATTTTTTATAATAAATTAACAAATCTATAAATAAACAAACAAACAAACAAACAAATCAATAAATAAATCAATAAATCAATAAATAATAATAATAATAATAATAATAGACAAATATAGAGGAAAATAATGATGGTTAAAATTTATTTCTAATTTTATTTTATTAAATTTATTTTACAGCAATGGCCTTTACAGTTTCCAAAATAAAACTTGCACTCCACTTTCTTCATCATTAAACAACTGCGAATGTGGTGTTCTTTTAGATATTACCAAGGTTCCATATGTAGCTATGTGCAATGATAATTGTCCAATTCCATGTCCAAATGATACATCAAGCGGCAATAAGACCGAAGAAGAATATTACAGTATTTTTGATGATGTCGATTTTTAAATTTAATTAAAAAATAAAAATTAATCAAAAAAAAAAAAAAAATAAAAAAAAAAATAAAAAAAACAAATTTAACACAGTAATAAAAACACACACTGTAATAATAACAATAAAAATAATAATAATAATAGCAACAACAATTAAAATAGCATTATAGTAATAATAATAAAAAAAATATAATAAAAACTTTTGAATGTATATTTTAATTTTTTTTTTTAAATTTTTATGATTATGTTTTTTTTTTTTGGTTCTTTTTTTTTTTTTTTTTTAAATTATTTTTAATAAAAATAAAAGTAAATTTTTTTGTTTGTAATATCATTTTTTATAAAATAATTATTATAGTTATAACTGTCATTGCCTTATTAAAAAAAAAATAATAAACCGAAAAAAAATTTATAAAAATTTTTTTTTAAATTTTTTTTTTTTTTAAATTTATTTATTTTTTGTTATTTTAATTTTACTTTTTAACATTACTTCTTAGACAATATATTATTTACGCGTATAAAGGTATATTGTAATTATAATGTTAAGAGCAAATTTATATTTGAAAAACGCTCCCAATTCAAAATTAAATAAACATACAATATGTTTTTATACAACCGAGGTAAGAAATTTTTAAAAAATAAAAATAAAAATAAAAAAAATAATAAATGATAATAATAAAACATGAATATTAATACTTTTAATTTAAATATTTAATATAGCAAAGAAATATAAATCCAAAAAATAATAATGTTCCACTATTTGATCAAATTGATTTAGAAAAAATTTCAAATAATAGTAATGTTAATAATAGTAAAAAAGAATCTAAAGATGACACAAATAAAACTAATGAGAAACAAAACTTTAGTTTCTTTTTAAATTATAAACCAAAGAAACAATCACAAACTCAAATACCTCAAATTCCACAAATTCCCAATAAATCACAACCATCACCACAGCCACCACAATCACAATTATTTAATCTTCCTCCAATTAATTTACCACCAATTAATTTACCACCAAAAGCACAACAACAACAACAACAACAACAGCAACAACCAAAGCAACAACCAAATAATCCATTCCCATTTAATATGTTTAAAACACCAAATAATCCAAATTTAAATAACAATAACAACAATAATACTAATAATAATAATACAAATATAAATACTGGCACAGCCAACAATGATACCAATGTAAAACCCAACAATCCATTTTTAGAATATTTAAAGTCAAATACATCCAACAATGATGCAAAACAGAGTGATCCATTTGGTTTTGCTAAATTCAATTTTGCATCACCACAAGCAACTGCACCAAATAAATTTGAAATTCCAAAAATACCAATTAAACCAACACAACCACCAAAACCAATGAAACCAACAATTTTAGAAACTTTAGCTCAAGAAACAGAAAAAATAGTAACAGAAACAAAAGCACCAACAGTAGAAAAGGCAGCACCATCACCAAATATTCCAAGATTTGATATTGAGGTTAAAAAACAAGTTAAAGAAGTAAAAGAAACAAAAGAAACTAAAGAGTTTGAAAAGAAAAAACCAAAAGAGCTAAGCCAAGAAGATCTAGAAATTAAAAAGAAAAGAGATAGACACAGAAGGATGATTGAAAATTTTGATCCAATATTTAGAGTTTATAAACCAATAAGAAATGAATATGGTGAAGAACAAAAACTATCAGTTAAGGAAATTGTTTTACCAGATACTGTTACTGTTGAAAATTTGGCACCATTAATTGGACAATCAATGAAAGAGTTAATTAAATGGCAAATCAAGGCAATGTTAAAACCAACTAGTAGATATGAACCAATTGAAGATGATATTTTACAATTGATGGCACAAGATTATCTCTTTGAGGCATCAAGATATCAAGATAGGGATGTGGTTTTACAAAGCTCATCAAAAGAACTTAAAGAGAAGCCAGATCCAAGTTGGCCATCACGTCCACCAATTGTTACAGTAGTAGGTCATATTGATCACGGTAAAACCTCACTTTTAGATTTTCTTAAAGAAATTCAAACGTTGTAGATAAAGAAGCTGGTAGAATCACTCAACATATTGGTGCATTTGAAGTCAAATGTTCAGGTAAAAACATTACATTTATGGATACTCCAGGTCATGCCGCTTTCGCAACAATGAGAGAAAGAGGTGTCAGTATGACCGATATTGCATTGTTAATTGTAGCTGGTGATGATGGTGTTCAAGAGCAAACTATTGAAGCAATTAAAGCAATCAAGAAATCAGGTTCTCAAATGGTTGTAGCAATTAATAAAATGGATAAGCCGGGCATTGATGCAAATCTTATTCGTTACGAATTAGCAGAGCATGGTGTAAATTGTGAAGGTATTGGTGGAGAGGTTCCTTGTGTAGAAATATCAGCTAAAACTGGTTTGGGTGTTGATAAACTTAAAGAAACTATTATTTTACTCTCAGATATCATGGAATTAAAAGCACCCACAAAAGATGTTCAACCTTCAGGTGTTGTAATCGAAAGTACATTTAAAAAGAATAGAGGCACCTTTTCAACTATTCTCGTTCAAAAAGGTGTTCTTAAACAAGGTGATTGGTTCATTTGTGGTGAATCATATGGTAAAGTAAAAGAAATGAGAAATCCAACCGGAGCAGTTATTAAAGAAGGTAAACCAGGTCAACCAGTAGAGATCTTTGGCTTTAAAGAAGGCTCACCAAACCCAAATGACGAGTTATTTGTATTTAAAACTCAAAAAGAAGTCGATGAACTCATCGAAATTAGAAAAGAAAAGAGAATTCGTAGTGATACCCAGATAGAAATGAATAAAATGGCATATGGTAATCAAGAACCAACAGCAGAGGAGATAGAGGAACAAGAGGCTGCTGATGAAGAGGAGTTACATGATGGTGTTAAAAAGAAATTTGTCAAGTTTTATGTAAAAGGTGATGTTACAGGCTCAGCTGAAGCTTTAGTAACAATGTTGGGCACATTACCAAAAGATCCAGAGATTTATAGTAAAATTAAAAAAGTTGGTTATGGTGAAGTCACAGAAACCGATATTAAAGATGCTACCTTTATGAACACACCTATCATTTATTTTGGCTCCAAGTTAAATCAAAAGATTTTGGATTCAACTAAACGTTCAGGAGTCCATGTTATTCAATCAGATATTATCTACCATGTTTTCGAAAATGTTAAAGAGTACTTGGAAGGTTTACTCGAACCAACAGTAGTGTATAATGTTACTGGTGAGGCCAAAGTATCAAAAGTTTTCCATATCAATAACAATAAAGACACCGTCGCTGGTAGTGTAGTAGAAAGTGGTATCCTTAAAAAAGGTTCAAGAATTAAAATCTTTAGAGATGGCGAAGTTGTTTATGACGATCGTATCGAACTTATTAAACACTTTAAGGAAACTGTCAAAGAAGTTACAAAGGGTCAAGAGTGCGGTATCACATTACGTGATTTTAATGATCTCAAAGAAAATGATAAAATTTTAGCTTACACTCCAGGTCAAGAAAAAAGAAAATTGGGTCATTTTGTTAAAAGTAGATTAGTATATAATAAATAAATTAAATAATAAAGTTTTTTATCTTAAAAATTTAAAGATATTGTATTTAAATAAATATAACTTTTATTATTTTTCTTTTTTTTTTTTATTTATTTTATTTATTATTATTATTATTATTGTTACCATTATTATTTTCTGGTTGGTCTTGATTGAATTCGTTAAATAAATTTTTAGTTTCATTTTTTAATTGGTTTAGTTTTTCTTTTTGATCTTTATTGAGTTGGTTTATTTGGAATTCGTCTAAATCTTTTCCAACGAGTGTGTTTATAAATAATTCTTTTTCTTCATTAGTATAGTCATTACTTTTTGCTCTTTGTTCTTGTTGATATTTTTCCATTGCTTGATCTAAAATGGACTCTCTTTGTTTATCCATAAAATTTAAATATTGGTCCCATTCGGTATAAAATTTATTTAATACTTTATTATCTTTAACTTTTTTGTGAAGCCTCCATTCATTCTTGACATATGAATCCCCCATTGATTTCATTGGCTCTTGTAAAATTCTGTGACTCTTTAAAATATCTCTATATAACTTTAAAAATTCTTTTTTACTAATTTGGGATACCATCTTTAAAAATGTAATATATTTAATGCAATATATAAAAAACACAAATATGAAACAATGAAAAAATTTAAAAAAATAAAAAAAAGAAAATTTTTTTTTTATTTTTTTTTTTATTTTTTATTTTTTATTTTTTGGTAATAATTATTATTTATTTATTTCCTTTAAAATACATTTATTTACATTTGATTAATTTTATTATACAAAAAAAATTATATGAGATCGCTTTCTATTCTGGTACTAAATAACCAACCATATATTTTAACATCATTGCTTCGAAATTTACCCAAGAGTGTCTAAATTCTAAATTAATATTTAAAAAAAAAAATTAATATTTTATTTTTAAACAATGTTACCATATTTAAAGTTTAAATTATTACCAAAAATTTGAGTTGAATCGTTGCCAGCTGCCCTTAATAGCTCTTCTCTTCCACCTGGATGAAAATCAAAATATTGAGTAATATCATAAACTCTTCCTTTATAAACAGTCCATGCATCCTTTTCTGTGTTGTGCTTTTTTAATTCTGTTATTGTAATTTTACCGTCTCCATTAAAAAATGTTGGATCTCTAATTAAATTTTGTTTTTTCATCCAATCTAATTGGCTGTGGCCATGTGGTAATGGAACCTTCTTTTTTCTTTTTCCATTTTTTTTATCTTCAATTTCTTGTTCTGTTGGTAAAACTGTAATGGATCGTAGCTTTTCCATATTTTCATTTGACACCTGTTGGTTTTGCATATTCGTTTATTAGTTTATTAATTTATTTGTTTGTTTGATGGATGATTTTTTTTTTTTTAAAAAATTTTTAATTTTTTTTAAATTTATTTTTTTTATTTTTTTTTTTATTTTTTGAAAAAAATTAAAATTTTTTTTTTTTTTATTATTATAATTTAAATTTATTTATAAACATACTTTTTTTAGGTTTATAAAGATAATTATATAAAAATGGTATCAATTAGACCATGTCAAGTATCGGACTTAATGTCTATGCAAAATGCAAATCTTACATGTTTACCAGAAAATTATCAAATGAAATATTATTTATATCACTTTTTAACATGGCCACAATTATCATTTGTAGCCGAAGATGATAAAGGAAATGTTGTTGGTTACGTTTTATCTAAAATGTAATTAAAAATAAATAAATATAAAAATAGTTTTGGATTATTTTTAAAATCACACACTAATCAAAATTTCACACCCACCACACCTTTCAATTAAATGCATATATAGAGACGAACAAGATTCAAAGAGAGGTCATATTACATCATTAGCTGTTTTAAGATCACACAGAAAATTAGGTATTGCCACCAAATTAATGACACAAGCAGGTAAATATCGATTACTATAAAAAATACTACAAAGTTATTATAATCTCCTTCCTCATTTACTAACAATAAATTATTTTTGTAGAAGTTGCATTATTAGAAGTTTTTGATGCTGATTGCGTATCACTTCATGTTAGAAAAAGTAATAGAGCCGCATTTTCACTTTATCATGATATCTTAAAATTCAAGTAAGTTATTTTTTTTTTATTTTTTATTTTTTATTTTTTTATTTTTTCGGGAATATTTTATACTAATGCAAGACTCTAAACATTTAAACTATTATCATTTTTTTTAGAATTGACGAAATTGAAAAACAATACTATGGTGATAAAGAAGATGCCTATTCAATGATTAAATTCCTTAAAGAAGAATCAGAAAAAAATCACGAAAAAAATAAACAAAAAAATAAAGACAAAGATAATAAATCAAACGAAACTGAAAACGATAAGAAAAAAACAGAAGAAAAACCATCAACTTCAACTACAACTAAAACTGAACAACCATCAGCCCCAACCTCTAAACCAGCTGGTGGCAAAAAGAAAGGAAAAAAATAAAATAAATTTATAAACTATAATATATATGAAGAAAAAAAAACAACAATAATAAGAAGAATAGAAAAGATTTGGTATTTAAATTTTATTTATTTAATTTCGATTTAAATTTACTGTCACTTAGGATCCCAGAATTGTAAACATATGAATTAAAATGGATAAAATGAAGTTAACAATCAATATACTTTTTCTTTTATAATACAAGTTTTTCGTATTATATACTTAAAATCAAGAACCATATTTGATCTTATATCATAAAAATATATGTCTTTTCTTCTCGTTACAACAAAAATAAAAGAA